GAAAAGCTTCACGTTCACTTCCTCCTGCATTCTTCTGCCATACTTCCTGTGTCGCCCCAGGACCGCTTGCCCTAAAACAGCCTCAAAGAGCAGCGCAGGTAATGCAGACCTCTAGATAGACCTCAATGCTCAGAACTAGACCTCAGGCTGGTTTGTGCTCAACAGAAGAAAGAAGCTCATACAGGTTTGAAACAACTTGTTTGAAATCAACTTCACTCTAAAGTAAATTATGACAGAATAATTTTTAGAAGAATAGGAAACGATCCTATTAATATACAGTGGTGTGGATTGTGATTTTAGACCAATGAGATTTCACTGTGGGTGGGGCTAAAGCAATAGAATGTCCAATGTTGAAGCTGGAGTCTTTTCTAGTCATGCAGAGTATGATCATTAGAGATCTATGTATATAGTGCAGTGAATAATAATAATAAAAAAGTCTAGAAAGCATAAGGTGATGTTAGCAATAGCATTATTATATTTCAGTTTAATGAGCTTTAAGCTTTAATTTTTATGGTCATAATTCCTCACTGAACTTGTCTGTACTGCAGCAGCTGTTTGAGATTAAGTATACCAGGGTAAACAGATTCATGTATCTTTCCATTTCTCACAGTGTATTTTTAGTGCGTTGAGGGTGAATAAGCAGGTTGCTAATGAACGGCCCTTACATGCCCTCACACACAGAACTAGCATCAAAAGAACTAGCACTGCGCATATTCATGGACAACTACTTCAAACACAGATGCCTTGATGGTCATTAAGTGTATTAATTTAATGAAGAAACTTCATTAAGTGTTTTCAGTGGTTTGGGGCTCAACGTTTCTTCCTATCAGAGCTCTGTTTCCTCTGAGACAAATACTGTGTAATCATAGTCATAGAGTCATAACAACATCAGGCGATGTGTGTCCAATAACTACAGTATATAATAATGTTATTGTCACTGTTTCTGGGCTCATGAGATCAACTTTTAACTGCTTTAATACAAGGGATTCTATATGAGTGATGCTATTCTGTTACTATAAGATTTATTCCTAAACAAAAGTCTAATGTTGAAGCTGGAGTCTTTTCTAGTCATGCAGAGTATAATCATTAGAAATCTATGTGTATATAGTGCAGTGAATAAAATTAAAAAAAAAAAAAAGTCTAGCAAGCATAAGGGGAAGTTAGCAATAGCATTATTATATTTCAGTTTAATGAGCTTTAAGCTTTAATTTTTATGGTCATAATTCCTCACTGAACTTGTCTGTACTGCAGCAGCTGTTTGAGATTAAGTATACCAGGGTAAACAGATTCATGTATCTTTCCATTTCTCACAGTGTATTTTTAGTGCGTTGAGGGTGAATAAGCAGGTTGCTAATGAACGGCCCTTACATGCCCTCACACACAGAACTAGCATCAAAAGAACTAGCACTGCGCATATTCATGGACAACTACTTCAAACACAGATGCCTTGATGGTCATTAAGTGTATTAATTTAATGAAGAAACTTCATTAAGTGTTTTCAGTGGTTTGGGGCTCAACGTTTCTTCCTATCAGAGCTCTGTTTCCTCTGAGACAAATACTGTGTAATCATAGTCATAGAGTCATAACAACATCAGGCGATGTGTGTCCAATAACTACAGTATATAATAATTGGAAATGTCTTCGCCTGTGGGGAGAACTGCGCTTGAAGGTGATAATTGTTAACAAGGTGTGTGAACACAGATTATGTCAAATATGGTGGTAATTTCTGCCCTTCAACTGTTGAAACAAAAGTCGCATTTTTATTGATTTGAACAAACTTAAGTATTAAATTGAAGCATGTATCTCTTCCTGAAATACTTGTACATGAATGATGCCTCAAATAATGTCTTGTTGAGCAGATGTGTGCTATTACTTTACTAAACTATCAAACTTACTACTTTTATCTGGTGAAAACAGCACTTACAGAACATTGAAGGGTGGAGCTGAGTCATATCTATAAACAAGAATATCATAAAAACTTGGTTGTGGGTTCTTTTGAGATGAAACCTGTAAATAACCAACTACATCTTACTAGCAACACATATTAACAATAATGCTAAAAACGACATACTGTAAAACACCAAATAGCAGCCAGACACATAGATAGATAGACACAGACAGATGAATAGAAGGAAACGTAGAGATGCAAAATGTAGAGATGCAAATATTCTTTTCTATTCTGCCGCTCTGTATACAGACAAGTGTCTGGCTTTTATGAAGTGAATGTTACCAGAGATCAGGTGTGCGCTGACAGACTGAACCCTGCTGTGAGAAAAGCTTCACGTTCACTTCCTCCCGCCTTCTTCTGCCACACTTCCTGTGTCGCCCCAGGACCGCTTGCCCTAAAACAGCCTCAAAGAGCAGTGCAGGTAATGCAGACCTCTAGATAGACCTGAATGCTCAGAACTAGACCTCAGGCTGTGTGTGTGTGTTTATGTGAAACAGACTGAGGTGTGAGAAACATGATGAATAATTGCTATAGTGGAGCTAGTGGAGGTTCTGTTCTCTGAAAACACAAGCTGTTTGTTTATTTTGATCTTGCCGTTTTTCCAGACGCTCTTGTTACTGTGTCTCCTGCCATTCACCGTGCCCTGGTCTACACACACCCTCTGTTTTGTCCCTTAATCTTCCCCTTACAGATTCCTCCAGACACTTTTAATAACACATGTGAGACAGCGAATGACAGAAAGAGATGGAACGATGATCATCAAGATTTCTGCAGTGTACAGCACTCTGCCAAAACAGCTTTATATATCAACAATATATATATATATATATATCTTCCTGCAGGCTACATTGTTACCCCAGCAGGTGGCAGTAACATTCTTGAGTGAGTTATTGAATGATTTACCAAAATATTTGTTTAAAAACACAAATTCTTTCAAGAATGAATTAAGTGATTAAGTCTTAATGGATGAGTCACTGAATTATTCACTCAACTGATTTATTAAAAAACACTGTTAATTTAGAAACGAAAAAGTGAATGCCTTTATGAATATATCACTGAAACGTTCAATCGACCAATTTGTTTCAGATTCATTCAGAAATTAATAAAGTTACTGAGTCATTAAATAATTCACTCAACTAATTTGCTATACAATATTAGGCAATATTATCTTTATGTTTATTGAACTGTTGAATAAAAGCAATATCACACCCACTATTGTGCTGTTTTTCCAAACATTATCGTATATTCTATGAACAACACACTTGCTCCTGTGATATTGATTAAAAACACTATTATATGCGTTAATTGTTAAAATGACAATTTGCAGGTTACGGTTGAATTAAAATAATAAGTTTATATATTTATCTCAAACAAAAAGTACTGCTGCAGTACTGTGGCACAATTATACTTTGATATATACTGAAGGATCATTATCTTTACTTACTAATGTGTCTGGATCTGGGCCTTGAGGTGTGTAGACAAGGGTATTCTGGTACTGTTCTGGGTGAGGATCTTGGAAGTTCTGATGGAGTTGAAGTACATCTCTGATTACCTTGGTGCTTTTGTCTCTCTCTTCAAGAGCATCGGTCATGTAATTGCAGTATGAGTCTGTATAAAAGCCCAATTAAAAGAGCATCAAGTCTCTCGTCCATAAATAATGGGCAATTATACTTGCACTGTCTTGATTCAGATTTACTTACTGAAGTCATTTAACAGAGCAGCTCTTTCAGTCATTCACCTTTGCGTTGCTGTTTTCATTGTTCTTTGCCACTTGAATGAGCTCGTCACTCCACCATCATCTCTGTAAAGGAAACGCATTACTCATGTGTAAACGTACAATCCTAATGGAGACTCGTCATTATCATTGAAGCGCCTGACTGCTGCTCACTTTTAAAACCACTTAAGCTCAGGGCGTTTTTTGGTATTTTCGCCTAAATTTGACATACTCAAATTCAAATGTTTACCCTACACACATACAATGGAGGAAATGAAAAAAAATGGTTTCATTGTAAAGAAAACCCTTTGAACTACAAAATATGAGTGTAATTCTTTATAAATAACATTATATATTTTTCAAATATTACAATAAACACAAAAAAAAACATAGGCGCTTTTGGAGTTTTAAAACAAATTATTTTTTTGAAATTCTGTAATTCAGGTTCTATTAGGTCCAGCTCTCTGCAATTTACTTTGTTTGATGCCACTACATGCCAAAAAGTACCAGAAAAAAGAATCTTTCAAATAACAGCTTGGGCTGATACCATATAAGGAAGGCTATGTAAATGAAGCATAAACATTTTTAACGCGATTTTGGACCCGTATCCGGGTCCGCAGAGTTTAACTGGTAAAGAGTGATGATTGTAGCTTCCTTCCAAAACTCTGCAGCTGCTTCCAGCCCAATTCATGAAACATGCAAATAAGACATAAACACACCAGCCCGACTGATAATCATGTTACAGCTTTCAACAGTTCCTCTTCCTCTGTGGCTGATTATAAGATGTGGATTTAACAGCGCCAGAGGTTTAACTGCTTCTGTTCTCATTGGCATATGAATGGCTCCTGAGACGGGCTGATGGAGGTGGAGGCGTTTAAACAGCTGTTTAAACAGCTGATTCGCCGTCTGCTGTGTCACTGATACACTGACTTGAGTAAAGGAGCTATTTTAAATATGTTTGGAGGGAAATATGATTATGGAGCTGCGTGTCTTGTTGCTTTGCTGTGTCTGGTTTTGGGTTTAAAATTCAATGATCTTTGATTATAGCAATTAGATGATACATGCATTTGATCAAAGGCTAATCCACATCAGATGATATCTGGGATTTGAGCTTTTGTTCTATGGTGTAGTTATGTAGTACAGAAGAACATTTGTCTGTTTTAGAACATCATTTACAGTGAACAAGATGAATCATATGCAGTGGTGTCACAATACTTGGAAAGTGTTTGGTTTGATTGAGCTGCTGTTTGTTATATTTGTTTACACTTACTTGTTGTTGCATTGTATCACAATCCTGGTTTCCCGTCATTGAGCTTGGATCTTCCTCACTGTGTGCAGATCTCCTGGCAGTGCCGAAGCATCCGTATGCAGCCATGGAGAACTGGGGCCTGAGTGTGTTTGTGGAGCAGAAGATCTTGTTGGATCCTGACGTCTCTTCCTTCTCCTATCAGATGGAGCTCACCATGGTGGTGGTGCACGAGATCTGCCATCAGGTAAAACACATTTACTGGAGTAACACGAGCATATGAGCTGCTGTGTAGCTTCAGATCCATTAACAGTCACAGTAAAACTTCATCTTGCTGGTTTATACTATATATATATATAGGCGGGGAAGCAATATCAAATGTGTACATTATAAATTTAGTCCAATCATATAAATGGATCAGTCACTTTTCTGACATCTTTTCTGGACCTCCATTTGAGATGCACAACTTGAATCAGGCCTCAAAGAGGTTTCATTTTTGGATAACAATGTTTTAATTATAGGTCAGTTTTATTTACACAAATGTCGATTTGTTAAAGGTTTATTTTGTGGTGTAAAATTTTTTTTATTTTTTTATCCTTAAATCAACAGAAAAAAGGAATGCCAAATTGTTATAAGTATGTATGCCAAATGTACTGTATGTATGCATTTATTTAAGTGTAAGCTGCTTGCATTTAATGTGTTTGTGTTATCTGAAGACTTTTAATAAGGGATTTTAATAATAATAATAATAAACAGGCCTGCAAATTTCCCATTCAGTATAACCCCTCCTTAAGCAGCCCCTATTTTGGCAAGGGAACATAAATTACATACCCAAAATAAAAAGGTTTCATCAGTTAAAAAAATACGATCATAATAATCGATCATGAAAATGACAGAAAATTATCGGGTCTGCGCGCTGTGCACGGAAAACCTCAGCTTCGTTTATGTAGTCAACACATTTCTATTAACTAAACGCACCTGAAAAATAACGGAGGATTTAAAATTAGCTGCTGCTGGGAAAATGTTCGATCCAAACTGCCCAAGACACGAGAATGCTTTACATTAAGCGCTTAAACAAAGTCGTAAGCGTAGCAGCGTGCACTGTCAGGTGCTCTGGCACGTGTATGTTGTTTAATGCGTGTTTTCCATAAAACAAGCATTAAACTGAGCGCATAACTTACATCACGTGTTCATAAACGTTAGAAATTCTCACGAGTATTTTGAATTTGCATAAAGATTCCTGAAAGCAACTGAATCTCGCCAAACTGTAGACTTCACTGACTAAACGGCCGTCAGTGCGCACATGCGCATCAACGAGAGGGAGCGCAAAAGAGAGATCGCTATCATTCATTCAAATAAATAAATAAATAAATCTTTAAATAAATAAATACATTCATTGAATTTAGGGTTAAAATTCTACATGTGAGGCAAGCAATGGTATTTTTATGAAGGTACTAACTATAAAGGGATTAACATGCGATTTAATAGGTATTGACTGGCCCAGATTTTATTCCAGTTCATAAAATAAAATAATAAAATAAAATGAAATATGCAGATTAATCGATTAGCCTACTGAAATAATTATTTGCTGCCCTAATGTTTAAGAATCCTAATGAGTATGCTAATCAAACCCATTAAAAGTTTTTCTTCCTTGACTCAGAATATCCTGTAAGTGCTTTTACTGAAACTTTAAGCGTATTACATCAAATTTATCACCGTTTGAATCTGTTTTCTTCCTCTAATTCCAGAAGACAGAGGGGAAAAAGCAGAAAGAGAAAATCTCCAGGAGTCAGAGAGTAAATGAGAGTGTGAAGATGGTCAGTTGTTTAATTAAAGGGCAGAACAGCAGTAGATATAATTGGACATCTGGAGAATTTGATGCACAGCTCATATAAAAAGATCCATTGGGATTGTGATAGTAAAGCTTTCTTTCCTTTATCCCCTTACTTTCTCACTCTGTTTCGCTCTTTCTTTTCTCTCATTTCACATGTTTCACATGTCTTTCTTGTGTTAAATAACCTTTTTTGTTTGTTTTTTTGTTTTTGCATCATTGCAGATTATTAGATGCAGATCAAACAAGCAGTTTTTTTTTTCTTTTGGCATGAAATGATGTTCAGTAAAGGACGTTAAGCCCACAAATGCATCATCATCATGAATTTTAAAGGAAATGGTGGAATTATTCATTGCATGTGCTCTTTTTCCGGCTTTTGGTTGCAGCTCTTATGTTGCTGAGAACCTTGGATTTTAGTCTTTTGTTATGGTGTATTATTTATGAGGGTATGGCAAGCCGTTTTGACTTTTATTACTTCACAGGATATGAATTCTTGATATCAACAATTAAATTTTCACTAGTTAAAATGCTAATTCTTGATATCAGGAATTGGATTTCTACTAGTAACAATGGCTATTATTGATATCAGGAATTACATTTTCACTAGTAACAATGTTAATTCTTGATATCAACAATTCAATTTTCACTAGTAAAAAATATAATTCTTGATATCTGTAATTATATTTTCACTAGTTAAATGTCACCATAGGCTGCCATTCAAATTCAACTGCTGATATCAATAATTGATTTCTTACTAGTTAAAATTCCAATTGCACATATCAGAAATACAATTTTACTAGTAAAGGCCTTTGTTTTTGATATCAGTAATCACGTGGTTACTAGTGCAAATGTCTACTCTTGATATCAGCAATTGAATTGCCACTAGTAAAAATGTTCATTTTTGATATCAATAATTCAAATGTCACTGGTGACAATGTTCATTTCTGATATCATGAATGTGATTGTTACTAAGTAACAAAAGTCATTTTAGATATCAGAAATGACTCTCCTAATTATTGATATCAGAAATACATTTTTAGATATCAGAAATGACAAATGCAACATGTTGAAATACATTTACAGATATCAAGAATTAACATTTCAACTAGTGACAAATGAATTCTTGATATCAGGAATTCACCTTTTTACTAGTGACAATGTAATTATTGATATCAAAAATAAAGGCTTTTACTAGTAAGAATTGTATTTCTGATATGTGCAATTGGAATTTTAGCTAGTAAGAAATCAGTTCTTGACATCAACAATTGAATTTGAATGGCAGCCTATGGTGACGTTTAACTAGTGAAAATACATTTACATTACATTTAGTCATTTAGCAGACGCTTTTATCCAAAGTGACTTACAAATGAGGACAATAAAAGCAGTCAAAACTAACAAAAGAGCAACAATATATAAGTGCAAATGACAAGTCTCGGTTAGCCTAACGCAGTTCACGTAGCAAGGTATATACAGTATATTATACACACACATATATATACACACACACACATATACAGACACACACACACACACACACACACACACACACAAAGAAAAACAAGTAGCTAGAATAGAAAAAATAGAAAGCTAGTGTTTCAAAATACAATTTCAGATATCAAGAATTATATTTTTTACTAGTTGAAATTTAATTCCTGATATCAAGATTTAGCATTTTAACTACTGAAAATTTAATTGTTGATATCAAGAATTCATATCCTGTGAAGGAATAAAAGTAAAATCGGCTTGCCATATTTCTCATGTGCTGCTGAATCGCATCTCTGCATTGTGTTCTAGATGCCGTTGCTTGGATAAAAGCTCAATGAGCGGGACGAAACAGCATGTCTGCAGTTCTTTCTTCTTTTCTTTTTTAGTTTGTTTTCTCTTTTCTGTTATATTTTTAGGGAGAAGGTAATAAAGGAAGACAATCCCCTCATCTCTCATTTCTGCACAGATAATACAGCTCTGTCTGAACTCACTCTGAACCAGACTGTTCTCTGCATATAAACCCCTGTTTTATGATCAGGGATAATTGAAAGAAGCAGCAGCGGAGGCTGGAACTATAATATTCACTGGTGATGCTGTTTATAGGCAGAAAACTGAAATATGTCCAATACTGTCCTGTATTACATTAACCTCCCCACTGAATTCACACTTATGTATGATGTGTACAGCACACTGTAAAGCTGAAATCTAGTGTTTGTGCTTTAAAAATACAGAATAAACTTATACAGTTGAGTAGTTAAAGTTTTGTCTCATTTAAGTGTTTGAGATCGCAATACACATTTAATGTGTTGCAACGAATCTTGTATTCTGACACACTGCAAATGCATGCATGCTTACCAACCTGATCTTATGAGAAAAATCTATCAATTTTACAAAGTGGTGTTTTTTATGAATTTCTATGATGTGATTCGTTCGGAAACATATGATTTTTAGTTTTAAAAATGTACGGATATAACCCCACACCTAAACCAAAGCAGATTGTACGAAAATGTGCTAATGAGATTGTACGAAATCAAAACAAATTTGCCGTGCACAGACATTTTGAGGGGCAGGAGCTCAAGTGGAAAAAAAGGGCACTTCTCTTATTTATTTTAATTTTTTCTAAACAAATCGTTAAATATATTACGGGTGTGGGATATTAACAAAAATATATATCTCGATATTTTCTGGGATTTTATTGATAATGATAATTAGATGATATTTTGCTTGTGCTGAATGCAAATGTTATTATATTTTGATTATGCTGATATCTTTAGGACAGCTGACTCCTAAAGTTTTTGATATTCTGCATATTCTGTGTGGTGATCAGTTCACAGCAGTGATATAAATTAATCTTTTCCAGTAAGTTTAAATAGATTGTTCACCCTTTATGGGCATTTTTACCTTTATAAAGCCCTTTTTTCTAAAAGTGTGCATCATCTTTTCAGTCAAATTCTTAAATTGAATCAGTCAATTAGAATAATAAGTAATTTGGGCTGTTACCAGGCAAATGAAATCAGTATTGACAAAATTAATCTCTGCAATGCAGAGAAAACACAGAAGCTGCATTAGAAGGGGCATTTAGATGCATTTACACACTGTTTAATGTAGGACATGAATGTATTTAACCTGCAGTTACAAATGCATTAATACTGCTTTGATATTTTAAACATAAAACATTGAATACTGATATTTTGAAATTGTTTAAAAAAAAATGAAAAGATACTTTAAATGTGAAATTAAAACCGCCATTAGGTGGCAGCAAGTCACTGTTGAGTGAGTCATTGCGACTGAACCGAATCATTTAAACAGTTGATTCATTCAGGAACAAAAGAGCTCCAGTTGCTCAGAGACGCAAATTGGAATTATATTTGTTGGCAAAATAGAGCAAAAACAGTCAATATTGTGTCTAAAACGTAAGTGTCTTAATATTA